ATATCCACTTGCAAGCACATGTCCCAGCAATAATGCTATTTTATATATACAAACAAATGAAGAAAATTCATATTTTATGGAGTGTGAAATTGTTAATTACTTGATGTTATGGATCATATATATGGTGAGGGACCAGGCAAAGTCCATTCATGCCAACTGGGCTGAAATATTTAACTTTTTATTTTTTTTTATGAAACATAGAATTTGAGGGATATTTTGGAGTAATTTCCATGAATAATTTAGTAACCCAAGCTTTTTTTTTATAAGACCAAACTTCGTATAATGATAAATGTATACGCACCATAAATGTGGATGCTTGAATTTAGTGTTTAACGCTTTTGAGTGACCATTTTACTCATATTACAATATTCACAATATTTCACAATATACACCACTCGAAGTGCTATTTGATAATTTTTTGTGTTTTTGGTAATACTAACCAATTTACAGAAATCACGTTAACCTCTATATAGCTGAAATCTTAAATACATTATTTCCAAAAAAAAAAAAATTTCTTGAAGCCTAGTCTCTGCATAGCCTTTCCTTCATAAATTTATTAATAGTATAATAAATTAAAAAAAATATCTTTTGTCACACCCTCTCTATATATATTATGTCTTTTATTTTGTAATAATTATTTGATACATGTTTATAAGCCCCATGGCCGATATAATTGTTAAAACCTGGGTTGGCTAGCGGATTCAAGCAAGTCAGCGTTTTCATGTCCTCAAAATGAGTCAAGTGGTTATAGAAAAGCTTTTGTAATCAAATTCCTTCTTTAATTTTACCATGTTTTTCACCTTCATAGCCTCCAACTAATGAGAATGATTCTAGGGAAAAAAAAAGAAGTCTATGATAACGAGACAAATTAAAGTTCAAATCTTTATTAAAGGAGTGCCCACATTTAATTTCTAACTATATTTTGAACAGAGAATTATACTTCTGAGTAATTAAAAACAACCAAATCAAGTTACTAGCAAACTTGTGTTAGCTGGAAAGCGGCAGGTACAAACTCTGTTAACTCAACCTTTAAGAATCACTTATACTTAGTTCAATACAAGGGAACTATATCCTCTTGATTCAATTTTTTTCACTTACTGAAATTTAAGTTGTTGATCTCAAAAACTGACAACAATGATGAATTTATAGGAGAAAGAGTATGATATTGCAAACTTATTTTTAACACATAAATTTAAATAACTCATTTCTATTGTGAACAGTTATTTTATTTTTTTTGGAAAGGACAACATAAAAACGTTGACGAAGTCCACCTAGCATCGAATCAAATTTTCAAGGACTAATAAATGCCCCTACCAAGCAAAAGCAAATGCATGCCACTATAACGGGTCAATATTATAAAATAAATTCTAAACTAAAAACAAAGCAGCGAATTAATTTGCACTAAAAACACACAAAATCAGTTTTTTAGATAAAATATGTGAGTGAGCAAGGGTTTTCAGATAGTTTAACTTTTGGGAAGCATTTTAGACTATATTTTTTAAGACAATTAACTAATTAATTCATTGGGAGCATATAATTCAATTAAAATTGTCTTATAATATTGAAGAGAAGAAGCATGCATATAGAGACACATACACCCAACTAGTTTCCCAAGTCCATAATATTAATTTTTTATTTAAGTTAGATCACATAATTATGAAGTAAGGTGCTACAAAATTGAACTTATCATTGAAATAGTTAAAACACTAATTCAAGAGTCAATAGTCAAAATTGTAGTCAAATTGGTGGTGACTAACAAAACATTTCATTAAATCATGCTGTCCCTAGTTTAATAGTTTACCAATATTTTCTTATTTGAAGAAAAATAACCCAAGTTAACCTTGACACGTATGTTGCATTAATATAAAGGAAGAATATATATCATGATATTGCTACATTATTCTCTACCGAAGATAAATATTGAGATAGAAATTAGTATTTGATGTGAATTTTAAAAAAATATTTTGTATATTTGTTTTGATAGTTTTTTTTTGAACGTTTTATTTCATATTTAAAAATTCAGTTTTATTTCTATTTTTGGAGGAAAATTTAATTTTATTTATCTACATACTTTATTATACATGATAATAATTACAGCATATATATATATATAGAGAGAGAGAGAGAGAGAATTAATCATTGGTCCTTACCATTTTGATTTGATGCATACAGTTGACTCACTTGAAAAGTTCCGACACTTTAATTCAATACAACTCAATTTTTATAATTTTAAAAAATTTTAAACTTTTATTCCTTAATTTTTAAGAAATAACTTTAGTTTTTATAATTTTAATTTGAATTGTACCGGATCAATTTAAAGACTAAGTTTCAACTTAGTCAAAAATAAAGGAAATGAGTTGTATTGCTAAGTCAAAAGTCAAGAATTAAATTTTAACTTAATGAAAACTATAAAAATCAAATAATTATTTTTTTCACACACACATTTTATATTAAGATGACAATATATTATTGTAAAATTTTATAACTTGTTCTAGGTGAGATGTCCATGATAAAGAAGCGCTTTGCATACCTCACTGAAGAGATGCTGAAACAGAGCCTTGAAGAAGCATTGAGTATGGTTGGTGGAATAAGAGATTGGGGACCTGTTTGAAAACCTATTTTGAAAACAGTTTTTTATTTTTCAAAATAAAAGAATAAAAAAAATTGTTTGATAATATAATTTCAAAAAGTGTAAATAAATTATTATTCTAGATAACAGAAAAATAGAAATAATATTTAGGTGTTCTGGGATTATTGTTTTGAAGAATAAAAAAATAAAAAAAACATTTATTTTTATTATTTTTTTGTTTTCATAACATATTTTATAAAACGTTAATTTTTAAAATAATAAAATAAAAACAGTTTCAAAGCCTCTGAAACTCGCTGTTTTGGATTGTGCATACTGGTAGGACATATCGGTATTGAGTGAGATAGAAGAGAGGGTTGGGTTGGAGGAACACAAATTGAGAGCAACGAAACACGTACTGAGAGAATATCGTGGGAACATGTCGAGTGCTTGTGTGCCGTTTATATTGGATGAAATGAGAAAGAGATCTATCGAGGAAGGAAGATCCAAGGACTTCGATGGGGAGTTCTATTTGGATTTGGTCCAGGTTTGACCATGGAGTCTCTGGTCTTGCACAGTGCTACCATATACAATTCTTTGTCTGTAGATCAAACCTCTTCAGTTCAATCCCGTTTACAACCCAGTTCACTAGTGCCTGCATCCCTAATTCAAACCAAAAGGAAAAATTCTCAAGTAAGTCGGGATACGTCACGTTATTTATAGTCTGTCCAATAAAAATATAACATTTAAATACATTAAATATAAATTGATTGTGACATTAATAATAATAGAGTTAGACAAGATAGAAAATTTAATATAAATTCTGTTATAAGAATAAAATTAATTAAAACAATATCACGTAAAATTTTATTTAAATAAATTAAATTAAGATATTCTAATTAGATAGACTATAAATAACGTGAAGCACCCAATGTATTTAAGAATTTCTTAAACAAAAAAACCTTTTCAATCAAGCTAGGTCTGTTATCAACTTATCATCAATCTATAATAATAATTTAGGAATTAATTTTTTTCTTTTACTCTAAAATTAATGATGTTAGGGTTTGGAACTAAAAAATATGCTTTATATATAAAGTTAAGGAGTAAATTAAAATCTTCTATAAAACTAAGGACCAAACATATACCTTTTTTTTTTCCATCCTGTGTATAGTCTTAACATTAAAATAAATTAAATGTGTATCGTTATTATTTCATTATTTTTATTTATGACACCTAATTTATTGTGTTAATTTACTTTTTGAAACAAAATTTGGAGCCTGCTTGTAATTGGAGCCTCTTGCATTTTTGTCCAACGTGCTAGAAAAACAGAGAACAACGATGAAGAAACACAACCACAAGATGTTTTTTATATATGTGATTCTGATAGAGAAATATTGTATGAAAATATCATCAAAGCCATAGAGGAGTTTGATGACAGATATGTTATTGGGGAAGGAAGCCAAGGAAGTGTTTATAGAGCGAGGTTGCCTACAGGTGATTTGTTGCTGTGAAGAAGCTTCATTCAATACCAAATGGGGGAATCTCAAACCAAAAAGCTTTCACAAGCGAGATTCGAGCTTTGGCAGAAATTAAACATCCCACTATTGTGAAGCTGCATGGATTTTGTTCCAAATTACAATTCTCCTTTTTGGTTTATGAGTTCTTGCAAGGCGGCAGCTTGGATAACGTACTAAAGAATGAAGAACAAGCCACTAAGTTTGGTTGGAATAAGAGAGTGAACATGGTTAAAGATGTGGCTAATGCTTTATTCCATATGCATCATGGCTGTTCAATTCCTATTGTTCATCGTGACATATCAAGCAAGAATGTTCTTCTAAGTTCAGAACATGAACAAGCTCACATCATGAATTTGGAACATCAAAGTTTTTGGACAATTCATGGAGGATTGAACTTACTCAAGTTACTTGGAAGTGCGTCAGCTTGTTTAAATTGTTGCACTTGACATTAATTATGATGCGTCATGAGCCTGTTCAAACAAGTGAGAGTTTGATTTACTCTAACATTAATTTAAATATGTGATTAGTGAGTTCCATAGCATTAATTATTATTTCCATCATTACTTGATGCTCTTGTAGTATGATTTGTTAGCGTATGAGCAGTTAAATAAACTTACGCTTAAGAAAGAAATTGTTAGAATTAAGGATGGTGTGGGTGTGTGTGTGTGTGTTAGAGAGATAGAGAGATAGAGAGAGAGAAACCCAAACATAGACCAAATGACTTCAATTTTAGGAAAAAGATGTGCTGAACTCTATATAATTTCAAGCGTCTTTACAGTCTCATGGACTAGCTCTAACATTATTATCAACAAAAATGAGGTTGTTTAATTTAGTTAGTGTCTTCTTTAGCTAAAAAGGAAAGAAATGCTTTATGCGGAAAGTGAACGTTTTTCAAAGTGAAGAGCTTTCTTGCATTGTGTTCCCCACAAAACTTTTCACTTGGCATCTTAATTATGATTAAATCAAAATTTTCACGTGCTTAAATATATTATAGTTTGTCTTCGGACATGTTCAAATTTTGTGTTGTGTAACCAGCTAAAGTCTTGAATCGTACAAAGTATGAGAAATGCACGGGTTGCAATTTTAATAACTTGTAAATTGTAATTATAAACGATGTATCTTGATATTTATTCTATGTTTCATATTAATTGATGCTACTATTAATTGATGCAAACTGATACTTCTTATTGATATTTTTTTACTATGCACATGTATCTTCCAGTAAAACAATCATGTTCAACACACTACCAGGTACTCTTTCTGTAAAAAATTATAAGACAATTTTAAATGTATTTTGTCATCCCAAAATATAAGATAATTAAATAAAAATAATATTTTAATAATATTATTATTTTAATATTATATTTTAAGTAGAGAGAGAGAATTGAAATAAGTGTGGATTTGTGGTGTAATGATTAAATATATAGATTTAAAATTATATTAAATTATACGCATTTTTAAAAATTTATACTTTTGTTTTGAAAAAATATGTTTATAAAGTGTCATTATTAATTAAGTTTTATTGATATGAATAATCTTATTTTAATTATCTTATAATTTAAAATAAAAATAGTATTAAATATAGGTAATTCTTTCAAAAAAAAATTTAGCTTTTTTGGTCATGATCTTTTATTGTTATTCTTTTTTTTTTCACATCCAAGGGTAACTACTTTTGGGTTTTAACCTTTTCTTTGTGGGCCTTCTAAAATGTATTTATCCCTCCTAAATCCAAAAGGTCTTTCCTGGGTGAAGTATTTTTAAACTGATACTCTTTCTGTATTAAAAATATAAGGTATTTTTTAAAAATTTAAATATTTAAAAATGTAAAAAAAATTTATTCTTTTGAGATATAATTATTACTTTTTTTTTCAAAAATTTCCCTATTGATAAATAATTTTATATTTATTATAAGGTATTTCATAAGAGTAAATATAAAAAGATTGGGTTAGTTAAAAAGTAGGTAACTATATTATTGAGGGATGAGATTTGGTTAAAAATATCTTATAATTTTTAACAGAGAGAATAATAATTTTTCTCATTTTTTTGAGGTTTTTTAAATCTCATTCATTCAAGAAACTCAAGAAATTTCACCTCTCTTCCATATATGTCTGCCTAGAATTGATACTGCATGGCTGCCCAGTGGATAATGTCTAAAGAGTAATATCATAAGTATAATTCTATTAGAAAATTATAAATTATCTATAAAATTTATACATTTTTTTCTAATTTTAATTAGAAGAAATCATGACAGAAATGTAAGCAATTTATATCTTCTTTTTTTTGTAAAATTAAAATTTTATTTTAATTTTTTTAATTGCAATAAACAATGCCAACTCCTTCTAGATTATAAAGCAAGAAAAAAAGTTTTACTTTATTTTTCCTTTCATTAAAATTATTTTCAATAATCAACAAGCCATTAACTCAGCTACGGAGCTACCCTAATGAAAATTGATCTTGAACCGTGGTGTTTGCTAAAATATAAAAAAGAAACTTAAATAATTACTATTTTAAAAAGGAGACGCTCCGAACCTGTGACTTCGTGGTGAGATCATCTTGTTGCCATCAATTGGTCATGAGTTCGAGATGGCGGTGAGGATATTAAACTAACTACCACGCCCTTCTTCTGTTTCTCTCATGAGGTATTTCTGCATACCTCTCTTTTTCTGGTTCACAAATTTAATTACCATTTTTCTAACATCTTTTAATTTCGTTATTTCGGTTAAATTGTATAGTGTCTTTCTAATGACGTGTGTGTAGGAACAAGATGTTAGATGTATGTATGTATGTTATACTCTTTTCCTTAAAAAAGTTTCAAGACAGCATTTAAATTGGTGGATTTAATTTAAATTTTAGATTTAATATTCATATATATTTTTTTAAGTATAAAAAGTAGGTTTTTGCCGATAGAAAAAAATATCTCCCTTGAGATGCAGAGAGTAACAAGCAAAAATTTCTTAACAAAATTGTTACATATGTAAAGATTAAATTATGAATTCTTAATCACTTACTAAAATGATAAGGGTCTTTACTACTCATATCAACTTTACTTGATAATTCATGCATTTAAACCAACAAGTGTTGGTCCTCATTGAAGGGATTATGCCCTCTAAAACAAGAGGTCTCGAGTCTGAATCCATGCAAATATACAAAACATCTTTGAAAGTGTTACTTTCAATTTAGCCATACAAAACTTGAATATAACCTAATTGAATAGTCATGTTTTTTAAAAAATTTCATATATTTAAAATTATTTGTTCGAATAATATATAAAATTTTAAATTTAGAGAAATGAAAAAGAAGACGATGAGACATGATAATAGAAAGAGAAAGAAGGATTGGGGTGGGTGATATTTCAAAATTTAAAATGCACTGGAGATTTGAAATTATAAAAAAATTAATTGATTATAATAAAATATGAATTTGAATTTAGATGAAATATAAATTTACAAATTTTTATGTATACAAATTATAAATGTGTTCTAAAACCAAATCTCCTGCATCCAACATAAATTTTAAATCCTTAGCTAACTAAATAACTTTTAAATCTTAACTAACTCTGGGGGGGAGGAATCCTAACTAACTATCCTCTAACTAATGAACTTTAACAAAGACAATTCTGATAATTAAGAAGTATTAATTAATTTGAAGTAAATTAATAAGCCATCATATAGGCAAACGATAAATTGTTTTAAAATGAAAATACGCCAATTGAGGCATTGAGCTCGTGGCTGCTTGTTGAGAGTAATAAATAAACTTCTGACTAACGAGTCATGAGTTCGACTTGAGGACCTCGAACCAAACTGACCCTCGCTTCTCACGAAGTATTTCCAAATATCTCCCCTTTTATTAAAATGTTGATATTGAATGGGGGGAAAAAAATTAAATGATAGCAGTGTAAGTAACTCGCAACAATTAATAACAGATAAAGCGGGAGAGATGAAGAGTCCAAAATATTATACCAAACTCTGCTCTTACTAAAGATATTAAAAAAAATTATAATACTTTTCAAAACTACCTTTATTAAAAGCTAAATATTACTTTAATTTTAAATTATTAGATACTTTTAGATAAAATTATACATAACAATAAATCTCATTAAATATACTTTATAATTTTATTTTTTAAAATAAAAATATAAATTTTTAATAACATACTTCATTTAATACTCTATTTATGAATGAATATTAAAGAGAGAGAATATGATGAAAAGGTTAATGTTAAAAAAGTATAATTAATGAAACATTATTTTTGTTAAAATATTTTATATTGTAGAATGACAAATTTCATCCAAAAATATTTTATAATTTAAGAAGAAGAGAATATTACATAAAGGTAAAACGAGAAAGAATAATTAATATATAATAAAAAAGTATCATAAAACAGGGCAATTACTTTCAAGTTTTTAGGAACTTGTTCAGCATGATATTTTTTGCATAAGTACATTTTTTACTCTCAACAAATGTTAAAAACAATGCGGTAGTTAAAGCCTAAGATAAAGTTGTCAATAACAAATTAAAGATAAAAATTATAAATATAAGAAGTGTAATTATTATTGTATAGTTATATAACAAAAACAAAAAAAAATTATTGTTGGGATGAAATGGAGTTGAATGAAAACCAAAATTTTAGTTATTAATATTTAATGTAATAGAAATACAGTTAACCAAAATAAAATATGAAGACTTTTGCGTCAAGTGAACCTATGTTTTGGTGGTGTGAGCAGTTTGCTTTTATCATCCATGTCTTCACATTGAATTGAACAGCAAGAAGTCAGGTATTTTCAAATACCTCAATCCAATATATAATATTATCATCCTCTCAATTTAAATACTATTAGACCCAAATAAAAATATCCAACCAGTCTTTATCTTTCGACTTTATTTTTTAAAAAATAAGTTAAAAATGTATACTTTTTTAATTAAAAAGTGGGAGAAAATGTATTTCCTTCTCAAGAGCCACTCGTATAAAACTCAATGATGGACATTAGACCATATGGGCTTAACCTAACTCAGACATTAGCTCATATTCTCCAATCCCAGACATAATTTCACATGCTAGGTTATTTGCCTATAATTCAGAATTTAAAAAAATATTTAAATATAAAATTTGGCAAACATACATTAATAACAAATTAATGATTAAAAAAAAAGGGGATACCGGCACAACCAATTGAAGGGAACTATGCTGTTTGGGAAGAAATGAATATAAAAACAGACCCTATCATACTTATCAAATACTAATATGATCTTATTTATAAGATGTTTTTACATAAACCAAAAATAATAATTGCTATGTATATTGTCCACTAATCCCTCCAATTTTATTTATAAAATAAAGAAAGAATGATTTTTTAATTTTATTTATAAGTCATATTATTAAATGTTCATCATAAGTTTTTCCATTTACCCCATTAAATATTGGTGAGAAAAAAAAGGTTATTAAAATA